ATAATTTAAAAATTAGTGTCCTTTAGTTTATAGTTTTAGGGATTAAATTGATTGAATTGAAAGTTTGGGGGCTTTAAGTAAAATTAAGTAGAAGTTGAATGACCATAACTCAATTATCCCAATTTTGCTTACCACATGGCATTTTCCCAACCAAGTCTTTTTTGTCTTGTCGGTGGAAGCTTGGATAAGCCTCCATAAGCCTCCCAAAAGCCCCATTTTGTTTTCCTATGCCTTCCTCTTCCACCTCCATCCTTTTCTTCCTTCTTTCTCCCAACCAAGGTTAAGGTGCTTTTATTAAGTATAAGTTTTAGTTATGAATCTTGGTTTAGAGTTTTGGGTAGTTTAAATTGGAGAGATTTGACTTTAATCCTTTGGTTTATAAGATTTTTGGGTATTAAACTTTTATTAGAAATATCATAAACTTTTATTAGAAATATCATTAATTTTGGGGCTTATATGGCAAAAATAGTGAGTTAGTCCTTTCTATTGTTTGATTTGGGTGTGATTTTTGCTGCAGGAATTAGAAGGAAATTGGATTGTTTACGAATCACTGTTCATGATTATTGTTCACGCATTATGCTTTGATCTCTTTCAATAGGAAGTCCTAATATTATTTTGGACATATTATGAATTTGTTTGACATGTGTATGTGTTTGTGGCTATGGAGGAAGTGGACCTAAGCTTAAAGCTTGGGGTATTCAGTGGACCCTTCGGGGTATTTAATGGACCTCTGCGCAATAGGTTTAGTACTGTGATTAGTTCCGGTACAGTGTTGCTAGCACACCTCAGTGGACTCCATAGCATTGTGTGATCTTCGATTTTATGCATTGCGCTTGTGACATCGTATTTGTGAGTATATGATTTTAGTATATGAATTCAATATAAATGTCATTGATTATTCCTTGACATTTGTGCTTATGATTTGATCCCGTTGTGTCCTATGCTCTTGTGTGGATAGATCTAAAGGTCTTAGAACCCAAGTTTATAGCCTAAACTTATTACTTACTGGGCTGTGAGCTCATAAAATTCCCCCCCATTTCAGATTAGTAGATCGAGGTAGCATCATCTCGGTTTAGGAGCTTTTGGCACGGGACTCGCATGCTCGTTGTATGTACCAGCTAGGGCCTCGTGTTTTCGATAGGGAGGCAGATCGATGTCTTACCAAAATCATGACTCAGCTTTTGTTTTTTTGAAAAGCCTTGAAAAAGAATTTGCCTCGTATAATTTTTGTGTAAATTACCTTTGTATATAAAATCTTTAAATTAATTATAAATGAGCTTAGCTCGGCTTATTTTATAATTTTGAATATTTTGGCATTTTTTTTAATATATATATTGACTTGTTAAAGTGGTTTTCCTTTACAGGTACTTATGATTTTCTTTTTCAAAAGTGTTTTTATTTCCGCTGCAATTCTTTATTATAATCTTATTTCCGAACTCTTCTAAGACTAAGAGTGCCTAGGGAGGTGTGTTATAAAATCGAAGCCCAACTATTAGTCAGTTCTTGTTTGTTGATGATTCACTTGTCTTTTGCAATGCTAAAATGGAAGAGGTGAGTCATTTACAGTACATTTTGCAACTATATGGTGATACCACAGGGCAAAGAGTTAATTTTGCTAAATCTATTGTCATTTTCAGTACGAATACTAGTAGAGATTTACAGACTTCAATCTGTAACCAACTTGGTCTTAATCATGATTTTGCTATATCCAAATATCTTGGATTACCAACATCTTGGGGGAAATCTAAAAAATCTAGTCTAAAATATGTTGTTGAAAAAATCCATAAAAAATTGAAACAGTGGAAAGTGGCCTTGTTGTCCTAAGTTGGTCAGGAAATCCTAATTAAGGCAGTAGCTATGTCTATTCCAACTTACACAATGTCATGCTTCTTATTCCCAATATGTATTTGCAAGGAGATCAATAGACTAATTCAAGATTGTTGGTGAGGGCATCAACAAGAAGAAAGGAGAATATGTTGGGTCAGTTGGAAGATGATGACTCAAAATAAATTTTTTGGGGGAATGGGGTTTAAGGATTTACTCTGCTTTAACTTAGCTATGCTGGCTAAATAGGCCTGAAGGCTTTTGCAAAATCCTCAATCACTATGGGTGTGTGTTCTCAAAAGCTTATATTTCAAAGAAACATCTTTCCTCTCTATTAGGAAAGGAAGTCATCCATCCTAGGCATGGACAAGCATTTTAAGCGGCAGAGAAATTCTTCAACTGAGGACATGATGGAATGTAGGTGATGGGAGAGAAATTCTGATCTATGAATATGCTTGGGTTCTAACTCTGCCACAATTCAAGGTACTTTTCACTCCTTAAGCTAAATCCTTATATTCCCATGTTTGTGATTTACTTGATGAAGGGGGAAATTGGGATGTTCATAAGCTTAGTAATTGCTTCACAAATGAGGAATGTAAGGAAATGATGAAAACACCTCTAGTACCCAGGCACAATTCATTTATCTAGCACTATAACAACTATGGATAGTTCACTATTGAAGGTGCCTACTACCTTGCATATAAACATATTCACGCATTAGACTTTTCAGAAACTCATTCTCCCATCTCCTCTGTAGAATGGAAGCACCTTTGGAAACTCAAACTACCCCCCAAAATTAAGGTTTTCTTATGAAGAGCCATCTTCAACAGATTGCCCACTTTAGATAATTTATTTGCTAAGGGGGTTGTGAACAATACCCTATGTCAAAATTGGGCAAAAACCAACATTTAGCCCCTCACCTTACAAAAGTTGGTAGGTTTTAGCCTCTCACCTTATAACATGACAGTTTTAGCTATTTATCTTACAAAGTTGGTAAGTTTTAACCCATCACCTTACAAAATTGGTAAATTTTAACCTTTTACCTTATATTATGATATTTTTAACCCATCACTGATACGAATTAAAGAAAATAACCCTCATCTAACATCAGGTTATAACATTCTGTTAGTTGATTGTCAATATCTGTTAGCATTTCGTTATAAAAAATATGAAATTTAAATTTAATTTTATTTATTAGTTTCATTAACAGAATGCTAACGGATGCTAACAGTCAACTAACAAAACTAACAGTCAGCTAATAAAACTGACAGTTAGTTAACAAAATTCACAATCAATTAATAAAATTGACAGTCAGCTAATAGAACTGATAGTTAGCTAACAAAACTAATAGAACATTAAAACTTGATGTTAAATAAGGGCTATTTTCTTCAATTCGTATAGATAAGGGGTTAAAAATGTTATAATATAAGGTGAGGAGCTAAAACCTACCAACTTTGTAAGGTGAGGGGTTAAAACCTATCAACTTTGTAAGATAAATGGCTAAAAATATCATATTATAAGGTTATGGAGTAAAACCTACCAATTTTCTAAGGTGAGGGGCTAAATGTTGGTTTTAACCATCAAAATTGTCAGCTTCTTGATGAATCCTTAATGCATGCTCTTTGTCACTACCCTCATGTCGAACCAACATGGTTTGGTTCAACCTTGAGTTTTC